AAACCAGGAAAATAAATAAAAAGAATTACATAATCATTCCAATTGTTGATAAAATGCCACAAATCCAATCTTCAAGGGAAATAAGAGAGAAGACAGCATCTTTACCGTTATAGATAGCAGTATAAATTAAGGCATCTATAAACCCCAACCATCCAATCCCAAACAAAGCACCAGCGATATATAAAGCAACACCTCTAGTATTAGGCCTGAAGCATACCCTTCTATCATCAAAATCATTGGTCCATCGAGCGAGAACTGGTGGAGAAGTTGAAGGTGATCTTGTAGTAAAAAGATTATGAACCATAACTAATTTTCATTTATTAAGAATCTGATAATTTATCGGTCTCTCCTTCAACATGCAACACTTTACGTATTAATGTTTTCTCAACATGCAATACTTTATTAATTAATGTTTAATATAGAGTTCACCCCCCCCTTCTATAGACGAAAGGATGATTTAATAATGTTAAATGATGATTAACTTTTAGGAAAATCGACTTTTTTCAAATTTAGCCGATTGATAAAAATAGCATGGTATGGCAAGAAAAAGTCCGTGCTGGTCCGAATTTCAAATTACATTCTTTAATTTAAATACTTTTTTTATTTTTGGTTACTTTTTAAGTTTATCATGTGATAATTGTATTTATATGTGATATCTTAGGAGCAATCGCTAATAACCCGCAGAATATTTGAATTTTATACATACGCACTTATTTGGTAGCTAGTACACGAGAAATTATTTAGATATTTATACGTAATAAAAATATAATAGATATTTGGATAAATGAAAAAACGCCATTAAGGCGCCGACCTACATAATTATATGCATCTAGCTGTATAGAAAATTTCTCAGACTCTGATATTTACTAATTTGTAAATGCAGTCCGAAAATTCACCGAGATAGATGAATTAAGTTCATCTATTAGTTAAAAAACGGTATATTTTTACGTAACTTTGCTTGTTTCATCAGGTGACAATACAGGTTTCTTATCAAGGTTGTTAATAACGATAGCTTCCCTGAATCTTGTGGAACTTGATTTGTTTACCTACATACGCGGTGATACACACGTGAGAGTATTTATTTGTATGGCAAATCTGTTTCGTCACTTTTAATCTGAGATTTATTAGTCTTATCGCAACCGTATAATCACAGAGCATTTCGCGTAGAACGTTTCGAAAACAAAAATAGATCAAAAAACCAATTTAGGAAACATTTATCATAAACGATGAACGACAAAGTTACGCGGTCGAAGTAAGGTTGTAAATAAACTTACCAAAGTATTGGGATTGTTATGGCGAATGCTAGATAAAGATAGTTCTTGCTGGTAAGGGTTTGCATGAGATATTGTTGAAATTCTTATTTGGGAAATTTTACCTGCCCACTCCTATTGTTTCATTGGGAATATATCAGATTGTTTATAATAAAAAGAAAATCTTTTTTTACATGAAATAAAAAAACGCTCCATTGCTTCATTCCACGCAAAAAATGCATCATTCTTTAACCATAACTGTGTTTTAGTCATGTGATGCATGATTAAATTACTGCGCGACAATTCCAATAAGAAAACTTTTCTTTCCTTTCAAAATTTACTAGTTTTGTACTAGTTTTGTATGAAATTTTATTTGATTCGTATCGATATATGATAATATATTCTGTAATTAATAATAAAAAGTCGTTTATAGTATATCTGATGTCAATCCGCATCAATTATCAGTGCCGCAAAATGAAAACCAGTAATTCAATAAATTGGATAAGAACGTGATTTACATGTTTATAAATTTTCATTAGGCCTCATTCAAACGAGTACTTTCAATGGAAAACCTGAATCTTGAGTTTATCACTTTCTAAAAAGTCTGATAATACATATGTACTGCACGTATGTATGGTTTTTTTAGTCGTTACTATTGTCGTTATGACCTATGTGATATAAATCATTGAAATAATGCAGAGATTGCTTATCGTTATTTACATACATTTATCAATAGGAATTCAAAAAGTTAATGGATCAACTTTTTCATCGGCTGTGTTACCAGTAATATTATAACCGCTCAATCAAGTAAAGCTCAAATTACGTATATAATGTCTAATTCATTACAGCAAATGAAGTCTTATAAATCAGCGATATGTATAATCCCACCAAAATCTCAATGGCCAAATATTCAATTAATTCGTCAAAAACATGATAAGCATTATAAAAGATGGATGCCTCATATTAATTTAATTTATCCTTTTATCTTACCTCAACAGCATGCTTCTGATAATTCCAATTCTTTAGATACCTCAACGGTTAATGATGCTTTTAACATTAATGCCGGTTCAGCAACGGTTAATGATGCTTTAAATATTAGTGCCGGTTCAGAGATTATCGATGATAATATGATATTCCAAATTTTGAAAAAAACTTTATGTCCTATCCATCCTTTCAAACTAAAGTTGCAAAATTTAAATTATTTCACACATGGAAAACGAAGTTCAACTGTTTGGCTTCATCCTGAAACTTTTCCTGAAAATGCTTTGATTGAATTAGAGAATAGATTAATCGGAAGATCTAATTTAAACGATTGTGAAAATAATATGAACAGAGAAGATGAGGAATTCGGTTTTCCAGGATTTGATGAGTTGCTAAATATTGGAAATGAAGGATTTAGACCACATTTATCATTAGGGCAATTTCGTGGTGAGGTAAAGTTGTTCGTTGAAATCAAATTTTGTGAATTTCAATACTGTAAAAAAGTTACAATGTTTTTTAAAAAAATTGATATTTTTATTGATTTTGATGTTGATTCTAACAATTGTCATACTTTTTAATCTTTGAAATAGAAATCATCGCAAGAAGCTATAGAAAAATTTTCATCAATATTTTCTCAAGACCCAATAATTGAATTTGATGTAACTGAAATCTGTTGGATTGTTCGTAAAGGATTTCATGATCCTTTTGAGGTTAAAGCTAGAGTTGGACTTGGTGTTGATGGTGAAATTGTTGTAAACGAATAATGTAAGCTTGAATATGTGTTATAATTAAATGAAAAATCATAATTATACTATGTTTAGGATACTTTGAGTGTAGATATGACAGTTTATCAAAAAGATGGTAAAATTTTATTTTTAATTTGTCGATTATATAGTAGATTGGAGTATCTATTAGTACAACTCTGTTATAATACTTTGTTATAATAAAGACACTCGGACTATTAATAAATTTGTTTCAAAAATTTCACTAATATCAAGTGCTTGTTAACAAACTCATTATATTAGTAGTTAGATTAATTAAACCAATAAAAACGAGCAGATTCTTCACAATTTTTTTTCTATTATTAAATATATTAATAAAAATTTGAAAGCTTGATAAAATAATTGGTTAAACAATTAAATAAGAAAATTTAAATGTTTAATTATCGTATAGTAAAAATAATTATTAGAATTAAAAAATTAAGAAAAATTCTTTTTACCAAATATAAATATGTTTTTAAATATTTTTATTATTATTTTTTTTAAAAAAAAAATTTTTTAATAGATTTATCTTTTATAAGCAATATTCATATAACTATTGTTTTATTTAAAAAAAAAATATAAGATAGTTAATAAAAAAGTAATAATATAAGCAAACAAAATAAAACCACTATTCACATTACTCTTCCCAATAACCCCTTGTACCAAAATCATAGCAAACTTTTTTTTCACAAAAACAGTAAACTATGGTAAAAAAGAAGAAAATAAGATTGGTCAAAACCATAAACCAGTACCTATTATTTAGAGATAGTTCTCATATGCTACTTGCTAACAGGCCCAGAGCTTATCACTCACTGTAGAGATAGCACTTATTATTTAGAAGTAGTTCTTATATACTATTTGCTAACAAGTTCAGAGTTTATCATCTACTAACAAGAAAACCAGCAGTATACTCAGCTCTATATGTTTTATTAGTTTTGGAAAAAAATATATTTTTTTTTAAGAAAAGTACAAGAACTATACTTCATACTATTACCCACTTACTTTTGCAACAAAATTTTCATAAAAAGTGAGCAAAACAGCTTACTCCATCAAAAGATCAGCATTGTTTACTCTATAGAAATCGGGATATCGCAGTAGATTGCAACTACATGTTTTGTTTACTGATGAATATAGCACTACTTCATATGACAAGGCCTCTACCTAATAAGCTATATATAGATGTTCAGATAGTCAGAAAGAAATTTTTTTTGTTAAAGCATAGCTTTACAGTAGAGATATACAAATGTTGTATTTGTTATATAATTTTTTAAGCCTAGCACAGATTATAATAGTGCTCTTTTGTTTCTTTTTG